CTCTTACTCTCTTTTTCTCCTTTTCCCCTATTCCTCCTCGTCTTCTAACTTTCGCCTTTGTTTCGTTTATCCTTTATCATCCCCCTCCCTTTTTTCTGCCCTCCCCCTCCTCTTTTTCTTTCTTGCCTTCTCCTCATCATCTCCATGCTCCACCTTCCCTACTTTTTCTTCTGCTGCTTCTTCCTCCTCTCTTCCTCTTTCTCCTTCTCCACCCCTTCTATTTTTTATTTCTTACTCCTCTTCCTCTTCCTTCTCTTCTTCCATCTCCCCTGCTCTCCTTTTTTCTCCCCCTTCTCCTCTTCCTTCCTCCTCTCCATCCTTCCTCCTCTACCTCCTCTCTACCACATCCACGCCCTCCTCCTCTCCACCTCCCACGACCTCCTCCCCCCTCTCTCCCCCCTCTCACCACCCTCCCTTTCCTCCTCCATCTCCCACCTCTCCCATCACCCCTCCTCACCCTCCTCCCACCCACTTCTCCCCCAGGCCCGGAAATCCGTCGTGGGCGAGTCGTCCATGTGGCACTCGACGACCCCGCCATGAAGCCCATGACCAACGACAAGATCTACTACTTCCTGCCCTTCTGGGACGACAAGCCTGCCTCTACATCCGCTCCTTCTTCCAAGACCACGCAGGAGACTCTACAACTCGAACGCATCGCGGGAACACGACGCCAGCGGTAGCGGGAGGGGGGGGGGGGGGAGTGGGGTTGAGAGGGGGGTGTGGGGGGGGGTGATGATGAGATTATTGATGGTTGTTGGTGAGTTTGATGGTGATGATGAAAAGATTAATGATGATAAGATTAATGATGATGATATGGATAATATTGATGTAAGAGTAAAGGTGATGATGAAATATTAATATGATGATGATAAGATTAATGATAATGACAAAGATTATAGTGATGCTAATAACAATACTAATGATAATGATAACAATAATGATAATGATTAACCAATGATAATTATACTAATAAGCATTAGAGTAATAATGATAAAGATGAGGATTATGATAAAAGATAATGATAATGATTATGATGGTAATAGCAATAATAATAAGATATTTAAAAAATGATAATCATAATAATGATAATAATAGCAATGATAATAATAATGATAAAAATAATATTAGTAGTAAAAATCATAATAATGATAGTAATAATGATGGTAGTGACAATGATAATGATGATAGTAAGATAATGATAATCATAATAGTAATAATGAAGAATGATAATGATTATGATAACGATAATAATAATACCATTAGTAATAATAATGATCCTAAAATTCGCCCGCAGGAGGAGGGTCTCTCGGAGGTGTCCGGCCTGATGGAGGAGGAGGACGGGAGCGCCGAACGCCGTCTGAAGGAGGTCCTGGAGGAGCTGGTCTCGGGGTGCGGGCAGTACCTGAGCATCGCTAGGGCGTCTTCGGCGGCGTCTACGGGAGGGAGGACCAAGCTGGACAAGGAGAGGATGAGGCTCTGCCAGAGGGAAATTGTGAGTGCTGGTTGAAGGAGGGGGTAGGAGAGGGATGGGAGGGTGGGGGGGTTGGGAGAGGGAGGATGTGGGATGGTAGGAGGGAGGAGGTGGGATGGTAGAGGTAGAGAGGGGTGGGAAGGATGGGGGTTGGGAAGAGGGAGGAAGTGGATGGTAGGAGAGAGAGGGAGGGAGGGTGGGGGATGGTAGGGGGTGAGAGGGGTGGGAGGGGTGGGAAGAGGGAGGAGGTGGGATGGTAGGAGGTAGAAGGGGAGGAGGATGGTAGGGGGTGGAGGGTAGGAGGTTAGGAAGAGGGAGGAGTGGAGGAAGGAGAGGGAGGGAGGGTAGAGGGATGGTAGTGAATGAGGGAGGGATTTGGAGGGGTGAAGGGAGAAGAAGGGTGGAAGGAGAGGGATGGGAAAGGGAAAGGGAGATGGAGCGCCATAGAGAGAAGGAATAGGAGATGGACAGGGAGAAGGAGAAGGAATGAAAGAAAAAGAGAGGGAGGAGGAAGGAAAAAGGGGGAGGGGGAGAGAGAGGGGAGGAGGAGGAAGAGGGGGGGAGAAAAAGAAGTAAGAGGGAAGACTTAAGGGAAGGAGGAAGAGGACCAAGAAGATGAGAGAGAGGGAGGGAGAGAAACAGAACAGAAAGAGATGGAAAGATAGAGAGACTTATATTTGATATCTTTGTTTAGTCATCAAAGATAGTTTTTGGATAAGCGTACTCATCTTCAAAAGCCAATTTTTATTCAGTCTATAATTTCATATTTACTTCGAGCACACTGTTTCTTAGACAGACAGAAAAAGAGAGAGTATGCCGATTGTTATTCGATGCATCGATTATGTATCACATTATTATTCCCATCATTAAGAAAAAAATAGTTCATAAAAAAGTGTCTCGATATACGGTACAGGGAAGACGACCGTGCTTCCAAATTCAACAGCAGAGACAGAGAGTGAAAGAGAGAAAAAAAAGACAAAGGGTTCAACTCCACTTAGTCTTCTATGCTCCAAGCCTATTCAGGAAAAAATGGTAGTACAGTGGCTTAGCAGTTTATAGCAACGACTGTCGATGATAATGGTTTCTCTGGGTGATTGAATTCTGTCTAAAGAGCTATTCTCAAGTGAGGGATTTTATACAGGTAAAAAACAAAAGGTTCTGTTGCCTATGGTGATGTGATTATGTAAGGAGCGTATGCCTGTCAAAACCTGACGGCCTAATTCGAAATGTGGAAAGGCAGGTTTATTTGGTGTTTGTGGAATCTGGATTAGGGAGAGGGGGGAAAGGAGGAGAAGTGGGGAGGGGGGAGAAGGGGGAGGAGAGGGAAGGGAAGGAAAAGGAAAGGGGTAAAAGGAGATGGAGAGGAAAAGGGAAAGCGAAAGGTTGAGGGAGAGAGAGTAGGAAGAGCAGGAAAAGGAGAGGGAGGGGGAGTAGGAGGAGTAGGAAAAAGAGGGAGAAGGACAGGGAGAGGCAGGAGTTGGAGAATAAGAGAGGGAGGGAGGGGGAGCGAACGAGAGAGAGAAGGAGAAGGGGTGAGAGAGAGAGAGAGAGGGAGAGGGGGGTGAGAGAGAGGTAGGGGAGAGAGAGAGAGAACGAATAAAATGAGAGATGAAAGGAGAAAGAAAGAGTTGGCGAGACAAAGAAAATGAAAGAGAAAAAGGAAAAAAAGAGTGAAAAAAATACATCCACACACACCAACCCAGCATTTTCCTCTCCACCTACACCCTCTAACCACTCCTCCTCCCCCCTC